TATATATATATATATATATATATATATATATATATATATATATATATATATATAGTTTTCTTTCTTTTTGATATAAATTCTTCTCAGTTTTACTATATGCTTCTAGAGTAGTGCAGGAATAAACTGTCAGTAAAATCTATCTTACTAGAGAGCATGATAAACTTTTTAATATTGTTCTGTTGTTAAATTTGTTTTGTTTAAATAAGAAAAATTTGATTTAAAGAAACATGTTATTAATAATAACACATCGAATACATATTTCTTATCTCTTAGATATTTTTCTTCACATCGTGTGAAATGAAAGGGCAATCAATTATTGCACGGAATGTCGATCTATTCCTTGATCACAAAATGCTATAGTAATTTTTCCTACAAAATTCTCTCCGTATATTAATCGCGATTCAAGCTTTGCACAAAATTTATGGCAACCGTGTGTTGATTTACAGTTGAGTATTGTAGTTAATTGTTAGCCGTGCATGTCGCATTGAAGAGAGTCACTTAGTGATCGAAACATTCATGTTTGATGTTACCGGTTACACATATGTGAAAGTTGCGTCTAACAAGTGCGCTAGACCCCTTATTCGTCATTCCATCCTGCATTTGAACTCGAATTACGACCGCAAAGTGCTGTTCCATTAGAACATCCAAGCGTACTTCATGCTCAGCTCATAATTTTAATTGGCGAAATTGTTTTCTGTTCCAGATCTGAGTTGCGGAATGTGGCCGCCCCTGAGTTCCCGCTGTTCTCGGTGAGTGTGAAAAATGAAAAAATATTAAGGCTTTGTAGATAGTTGAATATTTTTGAAAATGTCACGTTGGGCAGTCAATGCAATTTACATTGCTAGTAGATTTCTGCATGTTATATTTTAATTGATATGCGCCATCGAAACGAAATACGTCACTCGAACAATTAGAAGATCATTTATTTACATACCCATATCGTAGTAAGAATAAAATTTAACAATGTAGAATCGTTTTTGTTCCGTGTTTAAAGGGATGCCGGACATGAAAACTATACCGATATAACATTAACTTTTTTCTGCAAAATTTACGTCTTGTTGCATGCACAGAATTACAAACGCTTTTACACAACAAAAATGCATGCAAAAATAAATTAGAGCATTGCTCAGTATGTGACAAAACAGAAAAAAAAAATACGTTTAAATTTAAATTTTGAGCTGTCACAGTTAGTGCAATATTTATTTAATACAAACATTCTGCAGCTTGCACATACCGAAACTGTGGATACTCCAATCAAGAAAATTTCAAAGATCATTACTACACTTTCAGAATTTAGTTTCGGTGCCAAAAAAGATACGAAAAGTTTGCAGAAAAGTTTATGATTATATGCGGTTAGGTTTTCCGACAACTATGATAAAGTAGAGCGAAAAATTAGTTCACGGATATTTTTCGAGATGGCACCGTACTTTTATTGCACTTTTCACAACGTCCAAATATTCAGAGTGTATATATATGTATATATATATAAATATATATATATATATATATATATAGTTTTTTTAGAGCCCACGCAACTGTTTATCGCAACGACGATAATAACTGAACAAAGACGAAGAAATTGTAAAGAAATCGTCGTAACAGCACGCCCAAGTTGCTTTCCTACGCGTAATAGCAATAATTAAATAATAACCGAATAAATTAAATAATAATCGTATAAAGAAATAACAATATTCGAATATTAAATGGTAGTGATAATAATATCTATTCGATAATTGTATGATAATATCCGCGAGTAGATAATAACGAAATAATGATGATCGAATAACAATCCCTGGGCAACGGCCAAAAAAATAGACTTTTCAAAAAAGGTGCGCTACGTTCTCGCAGCATACCTAATCAGTAAAATCAACTATTTCTTTAGAGTTCCGGTTTGTTTTAC